CGGGCAGGTTTCGGCGGAGCTCCTCGCACCTGAAGTCCCTCTGTGTGCTGGCAGGCCAGGGGTGGGGGCAGGTAGGTGCTTAGCTCTAATAAGGGATTAAAAGATGTTTCATGAAGCTGCACGTTGGCCCCTGGAACGAAGGGGCCGTTCCTGGGCTCGCCCTGCTGTCAGCCCAGCTGGCGTGAGGGTTTAGGCCGAGCTGCCGAGGGATGGAAGGGTTGGAGAGTGGGAGCGGCGCGTCTTCGTTGGCGGTCGCGGACTGGAGCTTAGTGTTGTGGACGCTCTGTGCTGTGCTCCTGCCGGTGCTCATCACCCTGTGGTGCAGCTTCCAGCGGTCCCGGCGGCAGCTGTTAATACGGGACATCTTCCACAAGAGCAAGCATGACTGGCACTACACAGACCTCTTTGGCCAGCCCTCGTACTGCTGCGTGTGTGCTCAGCACATCCTTCAGGGTGCCTTCTGCAACTGTTGCGGCCTGCGCGTCAGCGAGGGGTGCCTCAAGAAGGCTGACCAGCTTTTTCTCTGCAAGGAGATCATGATGAGGAGCAACAGCGGAGCCCACGGCTCTATGCCGCACCACTGGATCAGAGGCAATGTCCCACTCTGCAGCTGCTGTGTGATCTGCAAACAACAGTGCGGCACGCAGCCCAAGCTCTGCGACTACAGGTACTGTGAGAGACTTTGGTTTCGTATCAGAACGTACGATGCTATATCAGTGATGTGTTTTCCACAGAGTTATTGGAACTCGTTACCCCGAAGGAGGTCCTGCAATAGTCAAATATGAAACTCTTTTTAAAAAAAAACCAAACTCCAAAGAACCTGAAATTAAATTGGATGCTTGTGGATAATTTGAGTCATAGATTAAGAGTATAGCACTGCATCTCATGTCCGCTTGTTCTCTTCCTTGCATTACTCCAGCATGATGTGCTAGCTACTGTATGATTGCGTATAAAAGGCTTTCTATGTCCAAAAGAGTTTATAGTTTAGGGGATGACCTTAGAAAGGTGCTAACACACTTGTCATTTGTACAGTGCATAGCCTGAGCGGTTTGGGTGGTACAGCTCACAATTCAGAGCACCAAAAAGCAAATACATCTCTGCAAAAGAGGCATCTGCTCAGTATAACTAGAGCAAACAACTGTCCTATAGTTGTTTTCAGTTCATTTTTAAGGATACTCAAAAAACACTAATCAGAAGTTTTAAAAGCTCCTGTAACATGATCTATTGTTAACGTTTGTGGTAGGAGTGTTAAAAAATTTAACGGAACCATTGAATAGCCCTGCACACTCATCAGTAAGGCCGACTGCAAAGTTGCCAGCGTGATGCATGGTGGCATGTTAGGCCGAAATATAGTGCTAGTTGTCCAGGTGCTGGGTACAGTGCAAGTGTCATTCCAGCCTTCTCAAGGGATGTCACCTTTCCAGCACATATTGTGCCAGCTTTTGCTTTCCTTCTGTGTGACACTGTCAGACTGCTTGGTAAGTAAGCAGAATTACAGTGTAAACGAGCATACTATCGGAAACAAAACCTTTAGAGAGAGTGTGCGTAGGAGAGGATTTTGGTGGCAAAGGGGGAAGGAAGGAAGAAAAGAAGAAAGTCACAATATGGGGCAAGTATCATTGCTACTCTAGTTATGTGCTGGATTAGTCAGAAGGACTCCAAAAATAGCTTTCACAGCTGCTTAAATCAAGGCTTTGGATGTAGCAAATGAGGATTAACATTCTGCAGAGGCTGGCAGTGGATATTGCAGTATTTCCTCTTGTTCTAGTCCATTTTCCAGGACAGCTTTTAGAATAGGTCAAAAAGCTGAGCAGTTTTGCATAACAAATCCTGTCAGCCTCGTACAGTACTGTGCAATCTTTTAGGTTTCAGACTTAAAGGGGTATTATCAATTTAAGAAATTTATTAATTAATGTTACTAGTAAAACTTTATTAAATTGAACTGTAGTGTTTTATCTGTGCTCTGTAAGGATGGATAGGAGTTCAGTTTCTCATACAAGCTTTTAGTGTAACTGTTAACATTGCAGACAATGCAAGAAGATATTTGTAGCACCTGGTTTTGGAACTGTTGGGGATTTTTTTTCCTCCAGAATTCAAATGCTTTTCTGGATTTGCAAGCGCATGATCAAGTTATATAATTTTCTGTAGCCAATACATAGTCATGTAAACTTCCAGGGAATGCATGGTTTTCTCTGTAATGTGTTTAAAATATTACTTATAATGGTGCATGTAAATGTAAGTACTTTTCAGAAAGTTAGCCTTTCTAAAATAAGTGAGAAAAATTGATGTGCTTCTTGTTTGAGGATTTTTTTAAATGTTTTTTGGTCTTTTTTCCAGATGTGTGTGGTGTCAGTACACTGTGCATGATGAGTGCATGATGGA